TGGGAAGATTTCATGATTTAAGTGAGAATGAGAGCATCCTTCTTTTTCCTCCACTCTCTTGGGTGGTGTTATCACATTCTTGCAGGATTTTTAAGTTTGATTTTCTTGTGAACGTCTCACCTCCCTTTGTCACTTGATCAGAAAAGTTACAACTCAAGTGCAGCACCCTGTAAAGATTGTTACTTGTGGCTCTTCTATGCTTTACCTCACGTTTACTTCAACTTTTCGGTTAATATTCTCAAGCTAACCAAAGGATTTTTTAATTCTCATATTTATCGCAAATCTTCATCCTTTATTTTCAGGTCAGATCCCTGAAATATGCAATGCTTCAAACCTACTCTCCCTCATAAACGAAGCAGAAGTGAAAGTCCAGAACGAGTTAGTTCGCCTAATTCCACATTTTCCTTTTGTATACCAACAAGGCATCCATTGTCCGCCTTCTATTTCAGACTTTTGTTGGATGAACAGAAGCGAATCGATGTAACCTTGTCGACTTGCAAACAGCTTACTTGTACGCTCTTTACTCTCAAAAGGTGGGTCTGGTTTAAAACACAATATCATTTCCTTCCTTTTCCAACTAGTTTTTTTCTCTTTGAAGGCTTGCGGCTGTTCAGGAAAATGGCATCAGTGTTAATATTCCAACATTTCGAACAATTCGAGATCCACGACCCGAAGATAAGAAGCTATACCTTCAGCAAATTACCAAAATCGTTCCCAACCACGAGGCCAGAATGGCTGGTTTGGCGGTATGTTCAGCGTCTAAAGGCACCATTGTTTTGTTCATTCAAGCATTTTAACCGCGGATAAATGTAATGCATCGTCCGTCGTGAAGCGAAAAATGTAGTGTCTGATAAAGGCGTCGCAGTGTTAAGGGCTTGATTGTGCGGGTAACTGGGTGATTGTGAATGGTTCATTTTCATGCCTTGAAATTGTGACGATTGTAATTAAGTACGTGAAGGGCAAGTGCAGCTCCTTGCTGGCATCAAAGCTGACAATGCCAAAGTACACTTCCACATCGCGTTGCGGAAACAAGGATAGCGATGTGAATTGGCAACTGCGATAACTACCTTGGCATTTGCCATAGTGCATAAAATTTCATATATCAATCCTTATCGAGGTCAGTGACCCCATTGCGTTCAGCCTGAATATTCTAAATTCGAGCATTTTAGTCCTTTGAGTGAATGTTGACACTGGCAAAAGCGATGTGTTGGAGGACAAGATTATCCAATCAGCCCTTGCTTATGATATCAGTTAGTTGGTGGATGGTATCTGGAAAGCGTTGTTGCGTTGTCGGACTTCTTCATCTGAAAGGCCACGATGTCATGAATATTCATGGGTCTTGAAATAAGGTGCACTCCTCGAAAGTGCACATTCCATTAGTGATTTCGTTTATACTAGGATGGTGGCCATAGGATGAGCATGTCAGGAGCGCATCGGTAACTGGAACTTCAGAAATATCCGTTTTAAAGTAGTCACTTAGAGCACAACAGATGAACGCTCAGCTTTATCGACGAGACACACAGTAGCTGCGATGACTTCGTTTTGTAGCCGATACTGGTAGCTCATTTAACTGATGAATTCTTCAGGGTCAGTTTTAGGCGTTTTGCAAGCTGTGCAGCAGTCTGTTAGCAACTCCGTAAATACGAATTGGGATTTTTTTGCAAAAGGAACTCTTTCATGATAACTTTGGAACCTGAGCTTAGCACATCACTAGTTTAGCTCCTGAGTTTATCAAAATAAGAATTTCGC